CCAGGCTGAGCCACCGAGCCTTGCTCATCTCCGCTTCTTAATGATCCACTTCCGCCAGGCTCAGTGGCTCAGCCTGTAATCCCAGTGCTTCGGGAGGCCAAGGTGAGTTGATTGCCTCTGAGCTTGTGGGTTCAAGACCTGCCTGGGCAACTTGGCAAGACCTCATCTCTACAATAAATCAAAAATTCCAGCTACTCGGAAGGCTGAGGCGGAAAGATCGCCAGAGCCCAGTGGGTCGAGCCTGCGGTGGCCGAGAGCGGCTACTGCACTCCAGTCTGGGAGACAGAGTAAGACTCCAACTCAAAAAAAAAAAAAAAAATGATCCACTTCCTTTTCTGTTTCCATCCTTAGTTGGAACTCCTTGAGAGCAGAGATTGTTCCTCTCATCCCTCTGTCACCAGCACCACCTTAACATGGAGCCTGGTATAAAATACTTGCTTGAAATGTAATAAGATAAATAGGGAAAGACCTGGCTTCGGGAGGTCACTTGGAACTTAAAGGTCAAGGGGTAAGGTCTCAGGCTCGCTGGAGAGTGTCTATAATTACTGATCAAAGAATACGCCCAGCACAGTGGCTCATGACTGTAATCTCAGGGCCTTAGGCGGCGGAGACAAGAGGATTGCCTGAGTTTAGGGGTTGAAGACCACCCTGGGCAACTTGGTGAGACCTCGTCTCTACAATAAATCAAAAAATTAGCCGGGCACAGTAGTGCATGCCTATGGCTCCAGTTACATGGAAGGCTGAGGTGGAAGGATCACCCGAGCCCAGCAGGTCAACACTGACGCTGCAGTAGCTGTAAGCATGTCAGTGCACCTCAGCCTGGGTGACAGAGTGAGACTCTGACTTAAAAAAATACGGTATCGCCTTTCCAGTCAGCCAGGTTCCGAATCAGTCATCTGAGTGCTTCACTTCCTAGTATGTCAATCTCTCAATCCTGCTGATCTGATCTCCTCAGTGTATTTTTGCCTCTTCTCTCTGCCTCCCCCGCCCCACCCCACCGTAGCTGTGAGACTCCAGCCCTGGACTGGAGAGAGAACAGATCTGGTCTGTGGCACTCCAGTGGCGTGGATGGGCAGTTGGTAGGGACGCGTCACTGAGGCGGCCACGCACACATCCTGGGATTCTCCAGCTCTGGGCTCCTTACCGTCAGCTCTAGCTCTCGCATCCCTCTGGGTATGGCTGCTGGCGGGGCTCCCCGGGACAGCAGGCCCTGGATCCATCAGCGGGGCCAGGGCGCCTGGCCCACCTGGTCCAGCAGGTCTGAGGCCAGCAGGAGGCATCTCACTGGACTGGGGGCCCTGGCAGACCTGGGTGGACCAGGGCTCTTGGCCAAGTAGGTCCACGCCTGGCCCCAAGGGCATGGGTGGCAGGCTATGGCTACAGTGAGTGCCCTCATCCAGTGGGTCCCCCCTGTCTTGCTGGGCTTCTTGGATGGGTGAGAACTCCTGGGAGGAGTCCCCAGCGCTCACCCGAAGCGGGGGGGAACCAGAGCCTGCAGCTTTCTTCCGCCCCTTGGCCAGCTCAGCAAAGGAGGTAACTCTCCTGGGTGGGGAGCTAGGTCCGGCCAGGGCTGCAGGGCCCTCACTCAAGCGTACTGGGCAACTTAGCATGCGTTCCAGTGAGCCCAGGCGGACAGGAGGGCTACGCTCAAGGCTGCGGTCATAGCTGCGAGAGCGCTGGCGTCCGGTGCTAAGGGTGGGGGGCGAGGTGTTTGTGTACACTTGCCCCTCGAGCACAGTGGGGCCTACGGCGGTTGCTGCTTCTGCTGAGGAACCCACTGCCTCTTGTTCCTCTGGCTGGCCTTCTGGCTTCTGGAACAGGTAATACTCAGAGGGCTGGCTGGGGCCCGGGTCTGAGCCAGGGCCTGGTGGGGGACTTATCTTGGTGTGCTCCTCAGAGCAGCTGGTGATGGAAGAGCCAGCGGGGCTTGGGGACGACTGGGAGGACAGGTCACAGGTGACGAGTTTATAGTAGTTTTGTGTGGCCACGACAAGACGGGCCTGGCTCTGGAAGCAGGCTGTGAGGTCAGCCACCGCTGGACAGGGCTCACAGTGTGGGCGGTAGGAGTTGCAGTTGGCATCGAGCTCAGGAGACGAGGCATGAGGGCAGCCGTAGCCCCCTTCCCTTCCTCCGCTTTCAGGGTGGTGGGACTCACAAGACATCTTAGACTCAGCGGGGGAGGGCTGCAGGTCCAGGTAGAAGGCGCCAGGGTCTGAGTGGCTGCAGAAGGAGGAGTCGCTGCAGGACTGCGGGGCAGAGTTGAGGTTGGCACGGGAGCTGCTGCGCATCTTGTTGTAGAGGGTGCTGAAGGTGACCAGCACGCCATCCGAGCTGTTGCAGGAGGAGTCGCTCACGTAGCCCATGGACTGGTCCGCTGCCTCGGACTGACTGGAGGTGCTACTGCAGCGGCAGTGGGGAGCTCCCGGGCCTGCGCAGCCAGGGTTCCTTGGGGACTCATCCGAACTCAGCTTCCATTCCTGGTCGAAGGAGAAGCCGGAGGTGTCACTGGTTCCACCCCCACTGCCACTCCCGCCAGGTCCTCCACACTCATCCAGCTCCATGGTCTCTGCTTCCGGCTCCGGCCGGCAGCAGTGGCTGGTGCCGCACTGCTGGGTGTCCAAGGTCATCACTGGCTCCTGTTCCTGCCCGTCCACCACTCCAGCTCGACTGCGTGATGCCCCCCATGGCCTGCCCACTCCAGGGCCAGATGGTGGCAGCTGGAAAGAGGAAAGATGGAAGGTGGGCTGGGCTGTGCTATGCAGGTGGAAGGACTGCTGGGTGGCACCGTCACCGAGGTCATCATACAGGTCACCAAGTCCTGGCTCACCCACACCCTCCTGCAGCAAGAAGGGGTTGTGCCGCTTGGGGGCCCCAGGGCCTCTTCCATCTCGACCCCTACTCTTGGTGCTGTCCGCAGATCCCCCTGGAGCGGAGTGCAGGCTGCTGAACAGCAGGGAGTCAGCCTGGCCCAGGTCTTGCTCAGGTTGGGGGATGCCCAGCTCGGGGGGGCAGAAGGGATTGGGTCTTGTCCCACCTCCGCCACTTGCCCCCCCACAGCACTGCCTGTCTGGGACTTGGCAGTGCACCAAGGGGATGTGATGGACGATGAGGGTCTCTCCGGTCAGCTTTGGGGGACTATCCATTCTGGAAAGTTCGAACAAGGGCATCAACAGCACCAGACACTGCCCCCGGAGCCCAGTGGGGCAGAACACATTTCATCAGGAGAGCTTGGCACCTGGAAAGAGAGGGAAAGAAAGGGAACCTAGTGTCACCTCTCTGGAAGTCAGGGACATGATCTTCCCCACATCATTTTCCGATGGAAAAGATCTCAAGAGAAGAAAAGCCTCGGAGCCAAGATGGAGCTCTGATGGCATGGCCCAACAGGACAGGCAAGGACCACGCGTCCAACAGTGACAAAAGGCCAGGCCACACATGAAGGTCTGGGGATCTCGGGACTGCACTTTCCCCTTCTCTTTCAAGGACTTTGTCCTCAGCAGTAACAACGACTAGTCCTGAGAACAAAAAAAAGTATGAATAGTGCCATGACTAAGAAGCACTACTGAGGGTGTCTAAAAGGGTGCAAGGCACTGAGGGGGTACAGAGATGTCTTAGACACAGCTACAGCATGCAGTTTACAGATGAGGAGAAAAACCCTGACTAACACATCATGTACTCATGGCAATAAGCTGTAACTCTGCAAGAAACACATTTCAAATATATCACCTGACCAAGTGACTGCTAACCCTGGCCCCCTTATTCCTCCTGCGAGCCCAGAATACCTGTCCTCTCTGATGACTGTAGGCTAAGTGTTCTTACTATCCTCACTACAGAGACAGCTGGGCATTAGGATGACTACAAGCATGGCTGATGTCAACTTCTTGGAGATGACGTCTATTTCCATCTCTTTGGAATTACTGTAACATGTCATCACATAAGGCCTGGCAAATATGAGAAGCATAACACATTCTTAATATCTGTCTAGCTCAAGTTGGGAGCAGTGGTTCATACCTATAATCCCAGCACTTTGGGAGGCTGAGACGAGAGGACTGGCTGAGCCCAAGGGTTTGAGACCAGCCTGGGCAACTTGGTGAGACCTCATCTCTACAATAAAAAAAAAAAAAATAGTTGGGTATGGAGGCGCATGCCTGTAGCTCTAGCTACTTGGAAGGCTGAGGTGGAAGGACTGCCTGAACCCAGCAGGTCAAGGATGTGGTGGCTGTGAGTGTGCCACTGCACACCAAGTCTGGGTGACAGCGTGAGACTCCGACTCAAAAAAATCTGTCTAGCTCAGGGTACTGACCTCCTGGAGCGACCCAATTCTGCCCAGCTTGAGGCTAGAACCTTCTCTCCTAGGATCCCCTAGAACATCTCACCCAGTTTTACCTCTGATAGGCTAAAGCAAAATTCTCTCTTGGCCAAGGTCTCCTGACCCCAAGGACCCAGAGACCATCCTGAATGTCTCTGGCCTCTCAACTAACTGTGGCAGCACGGTCTGCTCAAGTTCTGAATGTGCTTCCAAATTCATGTGCCAACAGCCTTCACTCCTTCAGATGCCTGACATGGAATTTCTTCTAATCCATTCACTTTTCTTCCTTCCCTTTTTATTCTTATCCTCGTCCTTTCACTCACCCTGAGTCTAAATCACCCCACTGCCTTTCCCTCATTTATTATTTAACTGAACCCTTGATACCATCAATTTCTTAACATGCAACTCCCTTAGACCACAGGGTCACAGGTCTTCATGGGGAGTGCAGGGAAGGGCAAGGCAAGTCACACATGCTCAAGGACATGAGCGAGCAGCACACAAAAAATCCAGGTGGCTAACACACGTGTAGGCGACAAGGTATTAAAATATAATTATTTGTGTTAAACCAAATTACCTCAAAATTTAGAAGTATTTACAATCTTGCTTCCCTCTCTCCTTTTTTCTTTTTCTTTTTGTAGAGATGGGGTCTTGCTATGTTGCCCAAGCGAGTCTAAACATCCTGGGCTCAAGTGATCCTCCCACTTCAGTCTTCCGAGAAGCTCGGACTACAGGTGGGTGCAAACATGCCCGGCTAATTTTTACAATATTTTGTAGAGATGAGATCTTGCTATGCTGCCCAGGTTGGTCTGGAACTCCTAGCCTCAAGCGATCTTCCCACCTCCTAATGTATGGTGGTGTGAGCCAACATGCCTGCCTTCTCCTCACCTGTCTGAGAGGAAAGCTCCTTTGAACATCCAAGCCTTTGTGTGTAGATTGGGGTAATGGGAAGGGAGTCATAAGACTAAAGGTTATAGAAGAAAACATAGAAGCAAATCTTTGTTCTCCTGGATTAGGTGATGATTTCTTAGATATGACACCAAAAGCACAAGTGATAAAAAGTAAAAACAGATCAATTGAACTCCACAAATATGAAAAACCTCTGTGCTTCAAAGGATACCGCTAAGAAAGTGAAAAAAACAATCCACAGAATGAGAGAACATAATTGCAAATCATGTATCTGATAAGGAACTTCTAATCAGAATATATAAAGAACTCATTGCTCAACAATAAAAAAGACATATAATCCATTTAAAAACTGCACAGAGAATCTGAATAGGCATTTCTCCCAAGAAGATATACAAGTGGCTCACAAGCACACGGAAAGATATTCAACATCATTAGTCATTAGAGAAATAAAAACCACAATGAGATACCACTTCACTCCGCTAGGATGGCTAAAATAAGAGATACAGACAGTAATAACTACTGATGATGATGTGGAGAATTTGGAATACATTGTATTCCCCGCTGGGGGCATTGTACAATGGTGCAACCGCTTTAGAAAACTGCCACTTGCAATGCCTCACACCTATAATCCCAGCACTTCCGGAGGCTGAGGTGAGAGGATTGCCTGAGCCCTTGGGTTCGAGACCAGCCTGGGCAACTTGGTGAGACTTCATCTCTACCAAAAATAAAAATAAAAATAAATAAATATATATATATATTGGCTGGGCATGGTGGCCCATTCCTGTAGTTCCAGCTACTTGGAAGGCTGAGGTGGAAGGATCGCCTGAGCCCAGCAGGGAGCCCTTCCCCCAAGCCTAATAAGATGAAGGCCTTCCTAGGACAGAGTAGGGGCCCCCTTAGTCTAGTAAGATAAAAGCATTCCCAGAATAATGAAAGAGTTCTTCTAGCACCATAAGATAAGAACTTTCTTAGAAGATTCATGTTAGAAAGGAATGTAGGTAGCCCCAATCTGTAGTATGCATGTGTAACTCTGCTGTAAACTTGAGCTGTGAAATACCCAATTAGCCTGTATGCTACTAATATGTAAGTTTTATGGGGGGGGAGCAAAGAAGCTAAAATTGTATAAACGGCAATGCCCCCCCTGCACTCAGGGCTCAGCCTTTGAATGTGAATCTGCTGAGCTGGTGCTGGCACGAATAAAACTGCTTCCTGGCCTCGGTGTCCTGACTTTCTCTGTAAAATTCTACCATAGCTGAGGCTGCGGTGGCTGGGAGCATGCCACTGCCCTCCAGCCTGGGTGACAGAGTGAGATTCCAACTCAAAAAAAAAAAAAAAGAAAAAAGAAAACAGCCACTTCGGTACACACCCAAGAAAAATGAAAACATAGGTTTATACAAAAACTTGTACACAAATGTTCATAGCAGCATTATTCACATTAGTCAAAAGAGCGGGAACAATTCAAATGTCCCTCAACTGATGAACGGAGAAACACAATATGGTATATACGTGCAACAGAATATTATTTGGCAATGAAAGAATGAAGTCCTGATGCATGCTAAATATGCTAAGTGAAAGAAGCCAGTCACAAAAGGCTTCTTTGTATGGTGTTGTATGATCCCATTTTTATGAGATGTCCCGAATAGGCAAATCATCGATATAGAAAGTAGATTAGTAGTTGCCAAGGGGTAGGAGGCTGGGGAATGAAGAGTGATTGCTTAATGGATATGGAGGTTCTTTTTGGGGTCATGAAAATATTTTGAAATCAGGCCCGGGGCGGTAGCCCACGCCTGTAATCCTAGCACTTTGAGAAGCCGAGGTGGGAGGATTGCTTGAGCTCGAGTTTGAGACTAGTCTATATTTTGTTCCTACAAAATATAAAAATAACAAAATTAGCGAGGTGTGGTAGGGCATGCCTGTAGTCTCAGCGAGAGGATTGCTTGAGCCCAGGAGTTTGAGGCTGTGGTAAGCTGTGATGGTGCCACTGCACTCTACCCTGGCAAGAGTGAGACTCTGATGAGAGGGGGGTGGGGGGACAGAGAGAGAGAGAGAAGAATGAGAGGAAGGAAGGAAGGAAGGAAATTATGATATGCAAAATGTAAATTACATCTCAATCTTATAAAAGAGTGAGTTTTATGATATGTGAATTATATCTCAATAAGGCTGTTGTTTAAAACAGGAGAAAAAAAAAAGATTAAGGATTAGAGGAAGAGAGATGGAGGGGTGAGAAAAAGAACTAGTGCTGTGATGTGGAGGGAGCCAGGCATCTGTAGAGACAAAGTGAGAATCAGATGAGAGGAAACACTGCTGCCCTAACTGGCATTTGGGAGAGATATGAAGATGAAGTTTAAGAAGTTCTGCTAGGAAGTACATGAGCTCATTTTCCCTTCATTCCTCCCCATCTCTTCTGCTCTTCCTTCACCAAGAAAACTTTCAGCTCAAAGTATATGCTATAAAGATAATAGAAAGTTGAAAAGTTGGGAATGCTAAAATTCCAATAGTAATCAATCAACAAAACACATACACAGAATGATAATGTTTTGTTGATATAATTACTGACTTGGAAAGATGTTCACAAAATATTAAGGGAAAACAGCAGACTATAAACAGCATGTACAGTATGGTGTATTTATTTCTGTAAATAAATATGTCTATATGCACAGAAGAAAATCTGAAACATGCAACAAAATGTTAACAGCACCTATCTCTGTTGAGTGATTTGGATTTTTTTACATTTTCTTCTTTGTGTTTCATCTGCATTTTCTAATCTGTATATAATAAATACCCATTATGTGCATCATTTTTTTAAAAAGCAGGATTTATTGAGAGGATAGAAAAGCTCCTACAGTGGGAGGGAACCCGAAGGGGTTTCCCATGTGCATAATTTGAATACTTTTTTTTTTTTTTGAGTTGGAGTCTCACTCTGTCATCCAGGTTGGAGCATAGTGGCATGCTCCCAGCCACCACAGCCTCGACCTGCTGGGCTCAGGTGATCCTTCTGTCTCAGCCTTCCAAGTAGCCGGAACTATAGGTGCGCGCTACCACACCTGGCTAATTTTTTAAAAAATTTATTATAGAGACGAGGTCTCACCATGTTGCCCAGGCTGGTCTAGTACCCGCGGGCTCAGGCAATCCTCTTGCCTCAGCCTCCCAGAGTGCTGGGATTATAGGCTTGAGCCACCGCACCCGGCCCTTTTTTTTTTCTTTAAGGAGGGGGATTCTCCTTACACATAATACTGGGTCTCTCCTGAGGTTCAGGCCATAATCCAGAGGCCTGGACTAAAAGAAGCATAGAGAACTTTCTTATCTATGTAGATAACTTTCTTTCTTATCCCAAGAAGCTGAGCCTACAGACATACGTGCCACCACACCTGGCTAATTTTTAAAATTTGTTTTGTAGAGACGAAGTCTTGTAATGTTGCCCAGGCCTCAAAACTCATGGGCTCAAGCAGTTCTCCTGCTGTGGCCTCACAAAATGCTGGAATTACAGGCATGAGCCGCCACGCCTGGCCTAAAGCACCATTTTCAAGAGGCATTCACAGTATGCACATAAGAATTTATGATTCTGGTCCATAAAATCATTACTGGAACAAACAAGCATTCATTTGGAAAAACACAGTGAGGCACAAACACAGAATCTAGACTCTAGAAAGCAGATCTCTAAATCAGGGATAAGAACTAGTGAATACAGGAAATGACAGCGGAGCCCTCGGCTGGAGGGCATTGATAATTGTATTATCATGTTAAATGTTCACATATGTCTCCCGGACTAAAGCACAGTTCCTTGAGGTCAGAGACAGTCAACTCTCTATCTCTAGAACTTATTACGCAATGCTTGGAACACGGCAGGTGCTCATAGTTATTTGTTGACTACTTTACCTACTTAAAACAGTTGTTTGTCTTCTTATCGAGTTGTAAAGTTTTTTTATTTATTCTAGATACAAGTCCTCTGTCAGATATATGCCTTGTGAATATTTTCTCTCAGATTGTGGCTAGCCTATTTGTTTTCTTAATGGTGTTTTTTTGATGAACAGAAGTTTTAAATTTTATGAAGTCCAATTTATCAGTTTTTCTTTTATGGTTAAGGCTTTCCCTAAGAAATCTTCACCTATTCTGAGATCATAAAGTAATTTCTGTTTTCTTCTAAAAGCTGCATAGGTTTAGCTTTTACATTTAGGGTGTATTGAAACCTACTGTGTGTCAAGCTCTTTCACTGACTGATTTCATTCTATTTAATACTTTTGTATCTCAGAGAAAGTCTTATTCCTTTTTGATCTCACACAACCAGCCATGTCTGCCAACAGTTCCTCCACAGACAACTCCAACCCTCCAGCCAAGGGGACATTCTGTAGCATCTCATGAGATCCTGTATTCATGCCTTGCCTTACCCACTTCACAGTTTTTACAAAGCACTTTTATGTATGTCACAGCTCACTGATCCTCACAACAACTTACCAAAGGAGACAAAGCCACCTTTGATTTAAAAAATAAGGAAACTGACACCCAGAACATGAAATGACTTGCCCAAGATCACTCAGTGAGTAAATAACAACATTGGGATGGGATTTTTGACCTTTTCTCCTACATAATGAGAGTAACTTGTACATGATTTAATTTCAGATATCACAGAGAACATTTACTAAGAGCATATCTCAGACTTCTTCTTCATATATATATATATATATATATATATATATATATATTTTTTTTTTTTTTTTTTTAAAGTCAGAGTCTCACTCTGTTGCCCAGGCTGGAGTGCAGTGGCACACTCATAGCCACTGCAGCCTTGACCTCCTGGGCTCAGGCAATCCTTCTGCCTCAGTCTTCCAAGTAGCTGGAAACACAGGTGAGCACTACCATGCCCAGCTAACTTTTTGAAAAATTTATTGTAGAGATGAGGTCTCACCAAGTTGCCGGCCTGGTTTGGACCCCTGGGCTCAGGAAATCCTCTTGCCTTGGCCTCCCAAAGTGCTGGGATTACAGGCGCGAGCCACTGTACCGGGCTATATCTCAGACTTCTTTCTTGGGAGTGACTTGCTCTATATCAAGACAAGCTTAATATTGTGGCCCATAAACTCTAGTAAAGGTAAAGCAAAAACACTGAGCCAGAGGAGCTCACTGCAGACTCTTTTTGCACTCTGATTAAATAAAGAGACATGGAAAATGAGAATGGGGAAGAAAGAGAGGATTCAGAATAAGAAGAAAGTGGAAGAAAGTTCTTTCAGAAGATAAGCCCTCCATAGCTATGCCTACTAGGTAGCTAGGGGAGTGGTGGGCTTAGCCGGTGTAAAGTTACAAAGCCTAGCTCTCCAGAATCTGGAAAAGCTTTCAATGAGAGCCCTTTTCCTGGCCCTTGTCCCAAATGGGTGTCTCTTGCCCTATCATCATGAAACTACTTATTAGTGATCATTTGTTAGTACTTATACGCCTGGTAATTTACATGTATCATCTCTGGTTCCACTGTTATACTTTCAAGTAGGCAGAATCATTCCCATTTTACAGATGAGAAAACCACAGCGTAGAGTGTATAAGTAGTTTGCTAACATTTGCGCAGCTGAGATGGCATTCAAACCCAGGACTGCCCAATTCTTCACTATTTCCACTACAACTGCCTCCCAAAGAAAATGATCAAGGCTACACCCTCTTCCTGCAGTCCTTGCATTTGCTCTGCTCCCAGAGCAGCCATTTCTGAGCTTTCCTGGGTAGGCCCACACTCTGGTCTCCACTTACACAGGTTGTATCTACCCACCTCTCTATTCTTTGAACTTACAGTCGCTTTCATATTACTGTCCACATGCTCTGACAACAGTCTTCATCCCACCCCTGCTCCTGTTCCCAGTTCTTATTTCTCATTCATGGTCTCCAAACTCTCTTTCCCCTGCTCTCTGGCTCAGACTCCGCAATACTTCCTGGGAGCTAACACACTCTCATAACTACCCATTTATTCTTCAACCACAGATCTGTACAATGCGGATCTACTGTCTCCTATTATTATTGTTTTTGAACACTCCGCCAAGGTGGTCAATGGAAATGGATTTTAAAAATATATAACATTATATATATATATATATATACATATATATATATACATATATATATATATCTACCTATCTATCTATATATTTAAGACAGGGTCCCACTCTGTTGCCCAGGCTGGAATGCAGTGGTGCAATCATGGCTTACTGCAGCCCTGAACTCCTAGGCTCAAGCAATCTTCCTGCCTCAGCCTCCTACGTAGCTATGCCTACAGGCACCCACCACCATCCCAGTTAACTTTTAAAAATTTATTGTAGGGACAGGGTTTCACTATGTTGCTCAGGCTAGTCTTGAACTCATGACCTCAAGCAATCTTCCTGCCTTGGCGTCCCAAAGTGCTGAGATTACAGGCGTGAGCCACTGCATCTAGTCTGGAAATGGAAATATAAGGAACTCTTTCTTCCTGTTCAGCAGTGAGGCACTTTGGGCAGAAGAAAGGTTTCTCCTGGCTTTGGCCATTAGCATCCTTCTGTCAGTCACAGAACCCCTAAAGACAATGGTACCCAAACGCTATTTTATAGCAATCTGACCTTGGCTTGAGATCCTGATGAACCTCTGAAGGATTGATAACCTTTTTCTGACTGGTCCTCCCTTGAGCAGGATTGAAGGGAAGAGCGCAGGTGGGTAGATTTGGGAATGTTAGCTCATGCTTAGGTCTCTTCCTGCTACGAATCTAAGTCCACATAAGAAGGCTGATTATAACAGGTCAGGTGGCCTAGGCATTGCAATGACTGTTCCCATCCCCAGCCCCATATGCTGTGGGGCATCGGCAACACTTCCTCACTCCATCCTTACCTGGAGCCTAGTGGCTCCCACAGCACCAGCAGCTATGGCATGTGTATCTATGTGCATGTTGTGTGTGTGTGTGGGGGGGGGTGCTTCCCAGCCCCTCCTCTTGGCTGCATGGAACCCTGCATGCTCTCCATTATAAACTTACAATAGCTGTAGGGATGTCTCCTCCATTAAGCCTTTGTTTCTAGATCTGCCCACCACCCCCCCATACTATAGCAGCTTCATTAGAAATCCCAGAAAGAAAGGACAGGGATCTTCTGCTTCTTGACAAAATAGCATAAATGGCATTAGCCCAAGCCTTGGCTTGTCCCCATCTCTGCACCACAACCCAAATGTATGCGCTTGCCTAACGCTTGTCCTCATGCGTGCTCTCTCCTCTCCCCCCCGCCCCCCTCCTCCTTTAGGAAAGACAAAGCCAACCCTCAGAAACCAGGGCCCAAACGTGCTGATGGGTTATCCGAGCATCTCTGCCCTGCCCCTCCCCCAGCTCTGCTGAGCCATACCTCTGTCAGGAGCCCGGAGCTGGACCTGGAGGCTTCTGCTCCTTCTGCACTCTCACCAAGCTCTACCTCGACAGCCCCGGCGGAGGCACTGTTCCACGGGACCACACAGAGGGAACTGGGCTGATTTCCTAAGATCTGATTTCTGCTAATACAATGGCATTGTTGCTAATGCAGGGAGCCTGCGCAATCCCAGCCCCAGTCTCCTCGCTGCTGCCGCGGCCGCGGGTGCTGCGGTGACGTTGCTGCTAAGGGAAGGGGGAAGGGAAAGGAGCCGGCATGCCACGGTACGGCCTCTCAGCCTCCCTCCCTGTCAGTCCCTGTGGGCTGTTGGCCTAGGGAGGAGGAGGGCAGAGAGAGGAGCCAGCCACAGAGTCAGTGGAAGACGGAGAACTCTCAAGGTGGCAAAGGAAAAAGAAGGAGAGCTGCGCCGAGTTCCTCACTTGTCCCTAGGAAGATGTCTGGGCAGGGCCTTGGAGCTTCCTTCCTTCCTTCCTTAGGCCCCTCCTTTTAGATCTTAGCCAGACCCCTCCTTCCTCTTTTCGCCCACTGTGAATGACTCCCTGTTTTCCAGCTTCTTCCTCTCACTAGGATTCCAGGCTAGCCTCAGGGTGGAGCAGTCAGCCTGGGAGGGGATTCCTGAAGCCTGGAAGGGAGGCTGCAGGGACAGTCATCATTCCGCCAGCAGAAATGCCAAACTCAGTCCCTGTGGGTGCCCCACTTGTCTTAGCCCTAGCCTTCCTAGGGTGCACCTCCTCAAGGAAATGGGGTCTGTACACAGGCGGGCTTCTATACACTGGGTGGTATGCATCAAGGAACCAAGGTGGCTGCAGGTCCCCTTCCTAACACAGGGCTCAATTCAGTTCCTGGGTCTTCAGAGGGCCTGCTAACTGTCCTGAAGCAGAACGGGTCCCTCTCGCGTACATCAGTTTTTGGTCAGGGTGGAGGTAAGTCCAGATGGATGCGAATGGAGGCAGTCTCTTTTGAGACCAGGAAGCCAATCTTACCAGGGAAAGGAAAGTGGAGGAAAGGGAGTGGCCCCTCTAGGCCAGAGAAAACTCTCACTTCGCCTGGAGGCCCAGAGTCCTCCACCCCTTCCCTGGTCCACCCTCCTCAGGTTCTGGGCCAGTTCTGTGGGAATAAGGAAACTAGAGAAACCACAGCCAGCACCAGCTGTACAGCAAGTAGCAGTGCTGTCTCTGTCCACTTCATGCCACTGCTTCCTGCTGCTACCCTTGAGCACAGATGGTCTCAAGCTGGGCTTGGTCCCCAAGCACAAGCCCTGCTTAGGGGTCCTCCCAGGGTTGACTACTTGGACTCCACAGCCCTTAGACTTCAGGTTCCTAGAAAGAAGCTTTGGAGAAACCACCAGCAAAGACCACCACAACCACCTTTCAGGATCCCAGAGAGATGTCGTTTTCTTTCCCCTTCTTGCTCTTCTATTCCCTATGAGACCCATGTGTGTCCACGGACACCATGCTGAGTCAAGCTGAATTACAGAGAGGAGAACAAAAACAGGCAAAGACCCATCTCCTACCTTGACTTGTTTGAGGAACTATGACCCCTTGATCCTACAAAGCAGGAAACAGTGAGGAAGGCAAGGAGGGAGGGAAGCTGCTGTTCCTAAAACTAGTCAACCATTAGTGGTCTCCTCAAGGAGGATGAAAGGAGTAGAAGTGGTGTCACTGTACTTCCCTCTCCCCTCGCTGATACACCCCAAAGTGGGTTGGCCAAGGAGCTGTAGGCCAGGGCACAATCAAGTCTTCATGACCAGGTGCTTGGGGTCCAGGCTTCTTACTGTGAGAGCTCTGGGCCTAGGGTCTTCCTCCCTGGAAGTTCTGTGTGACTATGCCATGCATTACGCTGGACAGTTATGCTTAGGAAGCGTTTCCAGCTGCCTATGGAAGGTGCTTGGCTTGACTCACCACATCACAAATCACACTGTCACCTACTTACCAACCACTACTGCCAAAAATCTATAGGGCTTTGATAAAAGATCAAATTATTTTCCAGCCAGAAATACAATACAAATACTGCCACATGATAAACTGTAACTGCCTCTTAACTAGTCTCCCCACCTAGAGTTTATTGCCCCTGACTCAGATTCATCTCCATAAAGAGCTACCTTTCTTCGACATGTTACTCCCCCTTCCTCAATTAATGGTTTCTAATTACCGAGAGAGTCAAGTTGAAACCTCTCATTTTGGTCTTCCCTGTTAGCTATCTATTCCCTCTCCATTCCTCTGTGCTGTCCACATCCTACCATGTAGTCCTTCAAACCTGTTTCATAAGTTCATTTCCACTTTGCTGCCTTTGTTCATTCAGATTCTCCTTGGCCATATGCAAAATTATCCAGAACCTACAAGGCCCACAGCAATCCTCTATCAAGTCTTCTCTGATCACCCCAGAGCCAGAAATAATCTCTGTTCTCTGCAACAGTGGCTGCAAGTTGTTGATTTTACAGTCAAGAAAACAACTCCTACAATAAAATGGGGACTAATATAGGATTTCCACCTTCTTATATTGCCAAGTAGCGTCATTAAACAACAAAGACCAAAAAACTGCATCAACTATCCTAATAATTTCCTTAAGAGAAAGCATACTGTCATTATTTTTCTCATTTCACTACATACTGATGTAGACTTCATCAGCAACTAGCATCAGTCCCTGAGAAGTTTTGATTAAGTAAATCATGTGTCATTTAACATGGTTATTGATCCTTTTTGCATAACTGCCTTAATGTCTCTCTGGACTGCAAAGTCTAACTTATATTCATCTTTGTATCCCTGATATCCAGTATGTAAAAGAATATAATTTTTATTTTGTGTTTCTCATAAAAACTAGCACTGTGCTTGATATACAGAAAGTGACTTGTGTTTGGCATGTAGAAGTCTTGTTGAACATGAGTAATCTACAAAGAGATGCTCCTTGCATGTAAATGAGAGTAGGTGGTGGGCAGACTTGACTCAATGGGCAAACTTGACTCAATTGACTTGGAAAAGAAGAATCTTGTTTTTCATGTGAAAAAAAATCTATCCGCTGGGCTCAGTGGCTCAGCCTGTAATCCCGCGCCTTTGGGAGGTTGAGGTGAGTGGATTGCCTGAGCCCGCGGGTTCGAGACCCACCTGGGCGGCAAGACCTCATTTCTACAATAAATCAAAAAATCAGCCGGGCGTGGTAGCGCATGCCTGTAATTCTGGCTACTC